TCTGAAGTTCAAGGACTTTCAGATAGATGGCTCACCTTTGGCCTATGTATTCTCATGTGAAAGCCACTTCAGCAAAACTCGGGAGTCCAATTCAGCTTTGTTGTAACTGGTCACGACTCTCTTGACTTCAGCAATGCTTCATATGCTTACACCAGGTCTGAATTTATCCCTATGGCTTCTCGGTCACTAGTCCTCCCTTCTAACTCAGAAACTGCCTACATAATAAAAGTGATTCATTAGAAACCACCAGGTTCCAAGTAGAGTGAACACTGAGACCTATAACTTTTTGATATGTGCTCAGTCATAAAAATGAATTTATATGGTCTTACTCCATAAACTCACTTTACAAATATTAGACCCACAACCATACTTCCGTGAGCTTGTCAAAGCTCATAAGTTAAGCAAGGTCAGAACTGGTCAATATTTGGATGAGAATCTCCAGGGGAAAAAAAAAAAAGAAAAAAAAGTATATACTCTGGAGGTCCTGCAGTGTTTGTAAGTTAGGGCATACTGTGCTCCTCCTTAAAAGGATTTGGTATTAGTCTTAGGATACAACAAAATGTTGTATTTGCTTTAGCAATAGTTTAGATTCTGGCCACATCTGTGCTGCATCTTGGCTGCTTCAGATAACATCCTTTCCCAGAGATAAAGGTGATGAGGCAGGTGAAGTCCTCTTCCCCACCACCACCCTTCAACCCAGGAGGCAGATCTACCAACAAATGCCTCCACTGCTACCCATCGCCCTTTCCCCGAAGGGGTTTGTTGCTACTTCTGCTATTTCTGCATTTTCTATGCTTTATCTAGCAAAATATACCTAAGAAATATATCTCTATACCCTAGAAAAAACACTCTCCACTCCCTCCCTTCTCCCATAAATAGCTTCCTCTGAGTATGTCATGCTCTCCCCCTTTTGAGCTCTTCCTTCAGGCAGCTCTGCCCCTCTCCCAGGTGCACACAATGTATTGCTGAAGTGCCTTTAACTTTTTCTCGTACTGGAGGAGCTTAGATGTAAGAGGAGCTATACCTCGTGAAAGTATGCTGTGGACAGAGCAGTACGTAGTAACAAAAGATACCTACATTACTGAAGGTGGTAAGAAAAAGTCAGTGCTGTACAGTAACGTTCTGAGAAACAGCTTAGTTACACATCTGAGGTAATACATGGATGCAGAAGGGAACTGCAAACCTCTCTGGCTTTTCCTAACGCCGGAGCACATGGCCACCAGCATGACCACTCTTCCAGCACGCTTCATCACTCTGCGATTAAGAACAGCTTTTACAGCAAAGGGGATAAAATGGGAAGGGTCACCAATCCTCTACCTACTGCCGTGTAGCAAGGCAGCTGCATTGCAGTGGAAGGACTGCAAGTGGGCATCGAGGTCCCAGGCGGAGAGACTGGAACTCCCCCAGGCAGGGATTCCCTCACCCCCTCCCCGTGCCCAGCTGGCCGCCCGCCAGCTCACAGCCCGCCTGCTGCACCAAGGAGGGACGAGGAAAAAGGGCGTCTCTAGAGCTATGAGTTTATGTGCTGGTGTCCCATGTCAGGCAGCTGTTGAAGACCAAGCCTCTTCCTACTAAAGCAAATAATAAATTGAGTGTTAAGAAGCTGGATACCAAATTAGACAGATCACTAGCAAAGCTGTTCGTAAGAGGCATGCATCAGAAACAGCGGCCTGGAGAAGCAGTACATCAAGGGGGTTTCATGCAATAAAATGGAAAGTAAAAAGTGCAGACGGGAGGTAGAAAACTCTGACTGGGCTACAGCCAAATAAACTTAAATAGGTTTGGGAATAAATTGGTGGTTTAATCCGGATCAGGAACAGGTGCTATGAATGTAATTCAGTAAATGGTCAAGAGCCTGCCAGAAGGGAGAGAAATGTGTTGCTTTTGAGATAATTTCCCAGAAGCTTCATAAAAGAAAATTGATTACTGGAGTTTAATAATTAAAACAGAGCCAGATATACAGTAGTCAAACAAGTTTTTAATTACAGCTCAAGCAGAAATAAAATCCAATTTGTGTACTTTGTATCAGAAAAATCCTACTGAAACACTTTGGTAGCTGGAAAAAATAAAATAAAAGCTAATTTCCATAGGAATTATAGTAGTTGGTTTAATTAAGAGACTAGATCAGAATGAAAGAGTCCCAAAGTGAAAGGACACTAAATACAGAAGTAGTGTTTAAACATCAAATCAATGTCTGAATAAAAACGTTTCATAGACCAAGTGCAAAATCTGCACTGCCGAGTATCCCTAATCTAAATTAATGTGTAACAAAATAAAGTTTCTTAAAATTACACTATATATTTTGTAAGTATTCAATAGAATTAATTGTTTGTGCTATGGTAAAACTGAATATTAAAGACATGGTTTATTCTTTCTTAAATATTAGTTTTAATTTATTTTGTCAAAATTAATGTTATTAGTTAACCATTCTTGTTATTTACTTGGTAAACACTGTTGCACCTGGGTTATTAGACTCTGTAATACACACTTAGGTATATATTTCTTAGAATTATATGTATTTTACTTTTGGATTTAAAATGTGTTTACAGCTCATAAGATACAGTGATTGCTGTTGAACTGTGTGGGTGCTTCTTGAATCCATTCCCAATCTACTTGGGCTTCTGGTCTCTGCTGTAGTAGACGCAAAGCTAATTGATCTGAGCAGCTCAAGCACTCACAGTCCTCCTGGCACTGTACGTGAGAGGGCTGTCTCCTACCGTAAAAGCGTGGCACCTGCCTAGGCCTGGAGGGATGGGCACAGCAGTAGGTCACGCCCAGGCCTCTGCCTTTGCTCCCTGGCACTAGGATTGAAAACATCACAGTCTTGTGGTCAGTCTTGGCAAAAAAAAAAGTACAGGAAGGACACAGATACAGCCTAGAGCTGCACAGCCACGCTGAGACAAAGTCCACTGTCCCCATGAGTTCCTTCTCCTCTGTGTTGCCTGTAGCAGGTATAGGTTGCTGGTATAGCATTTATGACGGGAACAGACTGTGCTGCATTTGGTGCTCACAGATCCTGGGGCTGACCGGGTGTGAATGTGGAATGCCGTCTTTGCGCTTAGAGACATTTGAAACACACTGATTATTTCTGGTTTTTAAATCTAAATTGTATATTGGAAAAATACTTCACGAAAACTTCTTCGAGATTTAAGAAATACCAGCAAGCTTAACTGCCAGTGGAGTTAAGCTTAATGGACACGGGCTTTGCACAGAAAGGATCTGCTAAGTTGCTGTCAAGAGTCAAGTATCTAATGTGCTGTCTCTAGACACTGAGTTGGTAGTGGTAACACAGGTGCTAATGATAACAGCAGTGAGCTTTTCAGGTATTTTCAGGTGTTTGTGACGTATTATTGTCCCTCTGTTTTGGACTCTGCCAAATCAGGTTTGAGGAATGCACAATGGTCTAAAATAGAGAGCTAAAATGGGGAGCTCTGAGGCACGGTGATGGAAATGTTATAAATCCACGTCCATTCTATCAAATGTCACCAGCACGCAACACTATGTGTGGCAGAGACTGCAGTAAACTCTGCCTCTTACCCCAGGCCCAAGGTTGCAAACCTGTCTGCCCAGTCTGTGCCATATTCTAAGGAAATAATTTCAAGTGGATTTGCTTCAAGTTCCACACAAATCAGCTACTTACTCATGGCATGATTTTTCAGAAGTGCTGAGCATTCATATTTCCTACTGAAGACATCTGAAATTGCAAGTTTTCAGCACATCTTAAAATCAGGCCATTAACCCTTAATTATCATATAATAGCACAATTAAAATCTACCAAGACTTACTTCAGTAGCTAACCAAGCTCCCATGGCTTGCAGACTAGCTATAAAAATACCCAGTTCTTTAGCGGTGTCTGGGCTCTGGGGACCATTTAAAGTGGTTGCTGTTAACCCTGCTATTTAAAGCAAATAATGAAAATGATCAACTGCAAAGGTACCTGTGTCCCCTTTCCTTTCTTTTCCTTAATAATTTTCTGCACTTTTAGAAAAACAACTTTTGCTGTCTTCTGTCGTTATTTTTTTTCCTTGCACCAACCCTTTATTTCAAATGACAAATACGTAGTTTCCATGCTATCAGAGAAAGCATGATACCCAACTCTCAGCAAAACCCACTTCTTGCTAATCAAAAAAGCTGCAAAAGAGTAATAGTCCTCTGTCCTGAAAGAGCACATTACATGACCGCTTTGGAGATAACTGGTTAACCCTTTCTTCACACCCAAGTTGCTGCTGTTAATGAGGTTCTGCCTCTCTTTAATGTAGGGACAAAACCAAGTGAAGCACTTGTGGTCTTTCCGCATAAATATTTGATACTAAAGGGGAAGGTAAAATAAATGTCTAGCAAAGGTGTGCAGGGATTATATAATTTGGGGGCTGATTCGAAGCCAGCTGAAACCAGATAAAAGATTCTTACTGGCTTCTGTGAGCTTTGGACTGGGTATGTACAAAACAGGTGATTTCAGTGCAATCTAAAAAGAAAACTCTTATTTCTTTTTTAGTTTGAGCACAGAGAAATGGACTTTTTTGCCAGCTTTGGAAAGCACAGTACTGTTGTGGTTTACTCATCTATAGGAAGTAAGAATCTAGCACTAGGGAGAATCTGAAAGTTATTTCAGCTTTGTGCAACTTGTCATCCAACCAGTGGACCTCCTGCTCATAGGTGCCAGTAACCAGATAGCCTTAGGCACCTGGGGGATGGCTCAAAAGGACTATCTTTAAGGATTACAAAGCTAAACTAGTTGAGCAGCAATTCTGCTACCTTATGTGCTTTTTTGACGTTTTTGGTGGCTTACTTAAAGCCTCAGGCAGAACAAGTAAAGAGATCTCAATGGGAACAACAAGCTTTACCTACACAGGAGTTTACAGCTGGGGGCAAGGAGGGTAGGGGCATGGTGCATATTAAACTCTTTTTACCCTGTTACTCCCTGGACTGTCCATCAGAGGAGTGGAAATACTGTCAGTATTTTTTCTCTCACCCTCTTTTTTTTTTACATCTTCTTCCAGTGTCTAGTGAAGCTGAATGTGAAACTGAAGCCTATGCTGGACTCCGTGGCAGTAAATAGAGGTAAATGGGAGGAGCTGCACCAAAAAAGACTTCCTTCTCAGGCAGCATCCTTGTCCTCCTTTTCCTCTAGCTTTACCATGTCTCTCAAAGACATAAATTAAGCCTGCAAACGTCAGTGTCGCTTTATGGTAAGAGCTGTCTGAAAGGCTTTCGTAAGCTTAGGCCACCATTTTTTTAAGAAATGCTTTCACAGACATGCTTAATTGACTGGATATTATCTTGATGGCAGCATAGTTTGCTTTTACTGGGAGGCTTAGTGGGACTGAAAGGAAGGCCTGTGGTGAGATTGCGCTGGTATCTGGAGTGACACGGAAGACTTAGCACAAGAAGCATTCATTCAGCTCCACTACATTTCAACTGCTGCTGTAAAAATCAGTAAAGCTGACAACAGACTGAAATATAAGAACTTACAGCTTAATAAAATTAATAATACAGAGCAGAAGTGGGATGCAAGCTGGTCAATTCATATGCAAGGAGCTGCAGGAAAACAGAATTAGTATGTAATTACATTGTTGTTTTGCATCTCTTCAGTACATGTTATGAATCAATTATGCCTGCTTTTGTGATGTTCCTCTCTCACTCTTCCCTCCTCTTTTATGCCTGAATGTTCTGAAAAGCCTGCTTTGTATTCTAAAGAAGTATTTTTTTACAACAAAGCTTCTTAGTGATTGATCAGGGCCTTTAGAATTGCCTACCTTTGCTACATTTAAAAACAAACTTTATTATCTTTAAAAACACCAACCTGTCCCTGCTTCCCTGAGAAATTCATATTAACAATGCAGTAAATTTCTCAGCAAGGGCAAGTTTGCATAAAGGCAAAATATTGCATGGTAATTTTAGAGGTGGGGTTTTTTTTTCTTTTAAAAAATGCTCTTTTAACACATTCTTTTTTTTTTTAAATTAGAGTGTCCCCTAAGGAAAAGACTAATGGGCTTTAATGAAAACAGAATACAAATAAAAAAGGAAATCTGTTGCCTTGTGCTTCAGGTTTATATTATATTGAAAAGTGGACCACGGATAAGCCTTTCTAGTATAATTTCCAGTTGAAATTAGTATTTTGAAATGGTGGAGAGGAAGAATATCATCATACTGGACTGACTATCTCTTACTTCTCTTGCAGTTCTTTCAGTACAATTTTGAGATGCTGTTATTACAGCTAGCACAGCACTAGTCAAGGCTGAGATGTAGACGTCTGTGGTGGAGGTGTTCATAAGAATCTAACCAAACACGATTCAAACAAAACCAATCGTGTCTGGTTCTGTGTGATAACACCAGTATTACCTGAAAGTTGGTCTCTTTCCATTAGTGCAAAGATCACTAGTGTAGCGAAACTGTGATCTATGATTTGAGGGTGCTTTCTCTGCTGCATGACCGGACACAAGAGGGATCATGTTGCAGTTCTTACGAGTTCCCATTCATAGGGAAAAAAAGCCTTTGTACTCTATGAAAAATGGGATTCTAAATATAGGGTTGTCTGGCAGCAGAAAATACAGCTGAATTTTTAGTTTTACACCTGTGCCAAACTCCATTTACTTCAGTGGAATTACCTTGAACTGGCACCAACTTAATGGAAATCAACCTGGCCCAGCTGACCAGATGCTAGAAAGAGCTTTCCTCCTTTCTAAGGAAAGTGAGTTGTTAGCGCCTTTGAAAAGCTGACTACATCTGTCTGACAATCGAACAGAAACAACAAATCTGCTGATCACTTCTTTAAAAAAAAAAACACAACAAAACAAAAACCCTCTGTGCTACTAATCATGTGTCTAGGAGAATAGCTGGAAATTTCAGTACTGTTGCAAGCCAATCGGTTATTATGCAACTGAACCACATCACTTTCTCTAGCAGAAAGAAGCAGGGAAGGAGCAGAAATGCAGACTGCACAGCAGTGAAAACATGCACCAAATACAAATGTTTCTGCTATTGCTTTACCACTTCTTTCTTCCCTGAATAAAGACAGATGCAGGATAGTAAGCAGCAAGCCATACAAAACTTATAAGACGTACTTTATGGGAGAAACAAATACTCGGAACTGACATAGTGCTGCTGGCAGGTACACACAGCTTTCCTGAATTTTGATATTGCATCTTGCTAAGTATAATGTAATTTATAGCGCATACCCTACAGCTCCCCCCAAGGTTGAGTCTCCCCTCATTTCCTCTCCTTTTTATTGGCTTCAGTGCGCTGTTGCCCATGGCAACACCCACTGGCAGGGATGGGGATTCAGCACCACCGCAACCTGACATACAGCTGAAGCTCTAACAATGTCAACCATCAATCAAGTGACTGTTTGTAATTGCCTCCATCTATTTCTCCTGTCTTTCAGTATCTTTGCTATTGTGGGTCAAAATTCAGAAACTGCTGACTAATGTTATGGTTCTGTTCCTCCATCACAAGGAAGAAAATGAGAGAGCACGGCTAGATCTTTATCAAATTGTTCTCAGGCAAAACGAAGCAACCCTACTGAAACCAGTAGTGCACCTCAGAACAGCATTTGGTCTCTGAAAGTGCTATAGCTCAATCTTAAAAAATAAATTAAAATCTTATAATAATTTTTTTTAAGACTCAGCTTAGGAACCCACAAAAGATTTGCATTTTTGAGAGAAAAAGAAGATTCTTTGTGGAAGCACGCCGTACGGTAAAGAAATATATTCCAAGTTCCTCATATTTTAAGATGGTGGAAAACACTTTTTAGCTAGCGCTTACAAGCTTGACAGACAGAAATTGTATCTGCTTTTCATTATTTCTCATAGGGAAACATTTTCCCAGTACTTCAGTCGGTTTTGCCAAACTCTTCCGAGATGTGCACAGGAGAGATGCCTGTGTAGGTTATTAAACTGGAATTCTCCATTTCTTACTTGTTTCCCTGCCCACTGCACAAGCAAAGCTCAAACCCCATTGAAATCAGCTTAGTTCTGCGATTGTGTATAAAACACAGGTCCACAAGAGGCGAGGACAAATTAAAGGGCATGTGAGAAGAGGACGGAGACCCCACCACTACCCCAGGACAGTGGTAGTAAAGCGCTGTTTGGCCTTTCCATGGAGATGCCCCAATGCACTCTAGTCTGCCTCAGCAATAGGAGAGTCCTCACTTATTTGCCCTGGCTGTTAGCGGAAACGTTGCCTTGAATGAGGGCTCTAGCATTTACAATTCCAGTGCTAAAATGTGGTGAGCGCATGGACCATCCATAGGGTCACACGGGCTTCATTCTCCCCCGAAGGTGCTTCAAGCTGGTTCAACTGCAATACCTTTTTTTCTAGGTGTCCTCCTGACTAGTGCTAACCGCAGCCTGAATTTAGTCGGGTTTCCTGTCTCATGTGTTACAGGCCACGAGGTCTCACAGGAGTCTGCCAGCGGCCCTCACTTTATTAGCAGAAAATGCTCAGGAGAAGACCTGGGTCTTCATCCCCATCCTCAAAGGTAGTTCAGGCCACACAGTAATTCCACTCAGGATTCCCACCTGCTAGACCCCTTACCAAAATCAACCTTTCCTTACAAAAAAAAAAAAAAAAAAAAAACAAAAACCCTAACCATTGTGTAGGGTAATCAGAAGGAGCCTGGCGTTCAACTCCTACTTGATTTGGAGCAGGCTTTTGAACTGCAGGTGTACCTGTCCCACCAGCCTGTGGGGAGTCACAAGGGTGGGCTTGTCTCCTGCCCTCCTGCCAAAGCCCTTTACATGTGCCCAGCAGGGAGATGGGATGCCTGCAGGGCGCCCCATTTTCTGCTTCACGCCTGGGAGATGCCCAGAGCAGGCTGGCTTTGGTGGAAGAGCTCAGGAGGGGTTCATATGTGCATCCTCCCAGATTAAAGTGCAACACAACACTGACCTCACCAGAAAACCAAGCACTGCTCAAGGCGAGGAGCATCTGTGGTAGAGGCTCTCCTGTGGCTCAGGCAGAAGGGTTTCCCACTGCCTGAGAACGAGACGTCCAAGAGGTGTCTTTGGCCATAGTTCGAATAGTCAAATCAGACAATTTCCCCGGAAAGTGCCCCGTCGTTTTGCCTTTCTCCCAGCCTGGGACCTACAGGCAAAACAGAACAGCTTCAACAGAACATGATTGAGATGTAGACATCAGCTTCTGTCGGGACACGGTTTTGTTCCTGCTCCAAAGCAGAATCACACTTACAAGGTTAGGCAGCAGTAGCTCACAGAAGTTTAAACTGGATGCCTCGTGCGGCAATTAACACTGAACTCCCCATGCGGCTCTGTCACAGCCAGCCCCTGCTATCTGCAGGGCCAGGGATCTTGCTGACAAGGTCAATAGTATGTTTTGTGCCCTGCAGAAAATAGCTGTAGAGTAGACGCGTGTGTTTCATTTTAGCTCAGGTATTCCTTCAGATGGTGTCCTTGGTACAGCAGCTGCATTTTTTTCTAGACTGGTGACCTTGCCAATTGCTCCTTCTTAGAGTGCACTGCAATCTCATAATGTGCCTGTAGTTATCAACAAAGCCAATACTAGTACTCACAAACTATTTTTGAAAACTGCAACCAGCAGTGCCTAATCTCATGTGTAATATTTAGATGAATTAATCCTAGTGGAAAAATAGGAGTGTTTCAGTCTACAGGCCATATATTTATTTTCCCTCCATAAAATTAAAACAATTTTAGTTATTGATAGATTGTTTTTCCATTGAGTGAAGTTTTAGAAGAGGTTTATTTCAAGGTTATGTGAAACATATTAACAGACGCTTCCAACGCTTAGAGTGTTCTGGGCAAGAAAACGTAGAGCAAGAAGGTTTTTTGTTGGCTTTGTCAAAGAAAGGGAAGATTTTTAGGAGTGAAATCATGTGAGTGGTTTCTAACGTAACAATGAAGTGGGAGGTATAAATCAGCTGAAATGAGAGACTCCAGAGATTTCCATCACTTGAATGTGCCAGTATTGGATTACATACTGTGTATTGCTTGTTACCTTTTTGTTCTTGGATTACTTGGCATTTAATTACCAATTTATAAGCATCTTGGCCACTGCATCTTACAGGTGTGTGGGGAATACCATTATAAGCTTTGAACCTTTGCCTATGGGAAACAACTGACACGTACAGAAATACTGTGTGTATTTTCTAATGCAAGTGGATCCTACATACTTTCAAAATGTGTAACTGAAGACTTCTGCACTCTTTTCCTTTTTGCATTTTTAGACCATTACCCTCATTGTTTTGCTTTAGTAGATCAAACAATGCTGATTCAGCTTTTTAAAGCATGTTTTTGAAATGAACATCTTGGTTTTCTTGGTCTCTCTAAAAAAAAAAATAAATCATTTTAATGGTTTGCTGTGGGTTTTATTTATTATTATTTTTCTTTGAAAACGCCTTGTCGGGATGAATCAGAGCTGTATCTACTGATTACTGAATCACACAAATAGAAGAGCATGAAAACACATGCAACTGAGCACCGCAGATACAATTGTCGAAACCTGACCTTGCAGCACTCGTTCCTGTGAGCAAACCTAACTTCGCTGGATACACTTGGCATTAGTCTGGAATGACCAGAAACCAAATTTGGCTGGCAACTTTAACAGAGCTATTTACATGTACAGAAATTACACAGATTATACAGTCTGTGATACTGGATGTATCATTATTCAGTAGAAATACCGTGGGGAGAAAAAAAAAAAATCCTTCCAAAGAACAAGTACGTTGTTGAAATAGTTACAGAAAAGTGGGATAGCATTTCTTCTTTAAAGCTGCAGGAAAGCTGGCAGATTGTGCTAAGGTACAAACATCCTTCCTTCCATCAGCCGTGACAAACTCTGGATCTGGATAGGCTGTAAAGGGGATGTTTCATGTTCAAAAAGCCCACGACACCAATAAAATCCTGGCCTGTGTTCCAAGGCTGCGTGTTTAGCTTAAGGCCTGTTTTTACACTACCACTTACTGCTTGAGAGAACTTAAAGTCTATTACGCAAGTTTTAGAAATAAATTAAACGAGTTGAAAAAAAATCAGTGAACTTACTTTGATTTTACTCTTTATTCTTTCCAGCTGCCTGAGTTATTGAAACGGGGCAGACATTCAGGTCTAGGCAGTGTTTTTAGGAGGAGCGGCCTGTTAGAGCTGATTTGGAATCATAGAATCATAGAATGGTTTGGGCTGGAAGGGACCTTAAAGATCATCTAGTTCCAATCCCCCGTGCCACGGGCAGGGACACCTTCCACTAGACCAGGTTGCTCAAAGCCCCGTCCAACCTGGCCTTGAACACTTCCAGGGATGGGGCCCCTCCAACTTCTCTGGGCAACCTGTGCCAGTGCTTCACCACCCTCATAGTTAAGAATTTCTTCCTTATGGCTCGTCTAAATCCACCCTCTTTCAGTTTAAAGCCATTACCCCTTGGCCTATCACTACAGGCCCTTGTAAAAAGTCCCTCTCCAGCCTTCTTGTAGTCCCCTTCAGGTACTGGAAGGCTGCTATAAGATCTCCCCGGAGCCTTCTCTTGTCCAGGCTGAACAACCCCAACTCTCTCAGCCTGTCTTCATAGGAGAGGTGCTCCAGCCCTCTGACCATCTTTGTGGCCCTCCTCTGGACTCGCTCCAACAGGTCCATGTCCTTCTTATGTTGGGGTCCCCAGAGCTGAAGGCAGTGCTCCAGGTGGGGTCTCACCAGAGCGGAGCAGAGGGGGAGAATCACCTCCCTCGACCTGCTGGTCACGCTTCTTTTGATCCAGCCCAGGATATGGTTGGCTTTCTGGGCTGTAAGCGCACATTGCCAGGTCCTGTTGAGCTTCTCATCAACCAACGCCTCCAAGTCCTTCTCCTCAGGGCTGCTCTCAATCCATTCTCTGCCCAGCCTGTATATGTGCTTGGGATTGCCCCGAGCCATGTGCAGGA